CCATGATCATATGGCTTATTCAGTCTCGAAACATCTGCTCTTAGATAAAAACGTCTTCTAATATTACCGTCTTGAGGACCTACTCTGTTTTGGTTGTATATATCCTGTCTATTTAACGTGGAACACAACTATAAATAATACATTTCAAATTCCATACAGGCTTTTCTGGTTGTCTGTCTGTTTGGTTTTAAGTAAAATTGAAGTCATTGCTTCGAAGTGTACTATTTACAGTTTTTAAGAACTAAATGGAAATTCTTTGTGATCATCTAATCCAAGGCTTCAAGCTTCTCAGAATCTCAAAATGAGTAACGGTCAGACTTGCTTCGAGTTTAGGAATTATAGAGGGGAAAACTTTGCAGAACAGATGCGTTAACAAGGTGGACTAGCCATTCCAGTACTGAATGCCATTGTATGTGATTTTAGTAAAATTTTCTTGTCTGTTAGTAAATACATCTGAGAACTTGACTTCCTTTTTTTGTTTTGTCCATTTGTTTCTAAAACCATCTGATACTCTTTAGGGCACTGATTTGAGTACATCTGTCGATCTAGGTTTAGCTGGTTTAAAACATTCTATCCTATCCGTCTGTTTGACCAGTGCTGGAGGCTTTTGTCCCCAAAAGCTGAGGACTGTTTCTCAACCATAACAGTACAGAGGCCATCAGTATCGTCACCCCAACATAACCTCTTGAATTGAGACGCTAGACTTTGCACTGAAGTGACTGAAGCACGTAGGCACACTTGTTTTGGTAGCTCTGCTGTAATACCGGTAACACTGAATGGCATTAGCTATTTGCTGAATGAAAAAGCCTCAGTTGAAACGTACGGCAACCAAATTTTATTAAATCTCCCCTTCTGATTAATTGATTTAATTTTGTACACTGCCCATACTTAAAAACTTAGTATGGCTCTGCATTTTTAAACAGTTCTTATATTTAATTAGTGACTGTATAGCTTGCTTTAATATTATTACATAATATTAAGTGCATTTTCTACATTATCTTTACTTAAACCTGCCTTGGTTCTGTTTACAAATACAGTATTTTTAGAAATCTGTTACAGCATTTCAAGAATTTGTACAGGTTTTGGACAGCTACAGAAATATCTTAGAATTTTGTACTTTGAGAGCAGTAAGAGTGAGCAATAGGATTAAAGTCCAGTATCTTGCAAATCATCAGTGCTAGATTCACTTGGGTAATAATTTTTTTTTGGACATTAACATAGTTTATAGGATATCGCATTCAGTTTTATGAATTTCAACATAGTTTATAGGATATCGCATTCAGTTTTATGAATTTCAGAATTCCTCTTCCAAGGGCCTTGAAAGAGTCACTTTCTTAAGAATTGCAATATGTATCCTGTGTGTATTGAGGCAGAAACAAAAAGAAGCCAAATAATTTACTACTGGTACTGTGCTATGACCAAGAAAGGAAGCTACTTAAAAATGCAGGCACATGAGCAGTATCCAAAAGGATAAAATGCTTACATGCAACAATAATCAAAAAGAGGTTAGAAAGATACCTTCTGCCCACACGCCCCAGCAAGAGACCTAGGTGGTTAAAGGCCTAGTGGGTAAAAGAGGCAGTTATGAGAAGCTAAGACTGTGTCTTCTGAAAGGAAAATGTAGTGTCTACATTAAAAAAATAGGGAGGAATCTACATTTATGGGATATTAAATGTAAATACAAAATAAAGCAGAGTTAGAATCTTCTGAAGACTAATCTGCAAAGTTGTAAAATAAAAGCTAATAGTATTAATTTTTTAAGCCCATCAGAACCAGGAGACTTGCAAGAGATCTTTAGTTCTGATAGGTGATCCTCAATATTAAAAAGTGTTCAAAGTCAGTAAGAAAAGCATAGTGAATTCCCTTTCATATTCACTGGGGAAGACTATAGGGAGTAGTTCACATCTTCAATGGGGAAGATTACAGAGAGGTTTCCGTGCTTAAGCCTTTTTATCGATGGTCAGAGTAACTCAGAGTCTGAAATGTCAAGATAAGTAAAAACTCCAAAATTCTGAAGAAGCATCAGAATGAAATTGCAAAGCTATTTTAGTTACATACCACTGTAAACTGTCCTGGTACCAGGCAGTACCAGAATGAAGCGGTGACAAATGAACAACAGTGCTTAGAAAAGGATTTGAAGGCCAGTCTGAGGAAAATTCACATGTAAATATTTTCTGTGTAAACAAGGGATAAGAAGGAAGGTTTTCTTGTAGATAAAAAACTGATCGAAGGATAAAAATGACATTTTTTCTTAATGGAGGAAGTTTGTTAGAGGAATTTTACAGGACTTCTTATTAGGTCTATGAAGTTTGTCATGGCACAGGTGAGGATTTGAAGGTAGGGATTAATATGATAGGTTGCTGCTGATACAAAAGAATTCGTAATATTAAAAAATGATATGGAAGAGCAGCAGAAGCGTTTGGAAGATAGGGTAACAGAGAAGTTGTAGTACAGTAGGCATAAATTGATTGCATATGGGATAAAACAATCCTGATTTTACATTCACATTGTTTGGCTGTTAACTAGATACTACCATTCAGGAAACAGATCTTAGATTTAAACTGATACTCAGTGATAGACAGACATATGGAGTGGGATTCTAGGAATTTTGCCGTTGTATAAATGCACGACATTTCACTCCATCTTAAAAAAGAACATTGTAGGGAGGTATCAGGAAGGCAACAAGGCTAAGTGAAGGTAGAAAATTGAATTAGTACAAGGAAGAACTAGGTCTGTTTGACCTCAAAAAGAGACACAACCATTGGCATGTAAGAGAGATTTCTAAAATCAGGAGTTTCATAATAAATAAGGAATGATTGTTAATTGCTTCTCACAATACAAAAATGAGATGTCATTAAAATGAATTATTAGGTGACAGGTTCAAAACAGAAGGAGATACTTATTCCCAGAATCCATAGTTAAATTTTACTTTTTTGAGGGGAGTTTATTAAATGCCACAAGTGTATATGGGCATATATGGTTTAGATAACTGCCTCTCAGTGAAGATGTCTTCGAGCAGCAGACTGCTGCAAGTGGGGAGGGTAAACTGAGGATATCACTGCGTCTTTGCCCTGTTGTACTCTATTGTAAGCATCCACTACTGACCAATGTCAGAGACAGGATACTGGGCAAGATGCTCTGTTGGTTTGACCCGATGAGGACGTTCTTGTGTGCGGTACAACTTGTAACTTAGGGAAAAGGATAAGTAGAGGCAAATAAATGCTTAAGCGATCTGAGGCCTGTAGAAATATATTGCTTATATAGAAATATAAAGTTATAATTGATGTTCATTTGTAGTGACCTGAAATGATACCAGGTTCGTGCACTAAGGCTTTCAGATTAGTATTGTCAATGTTTTCATTATTTATGTCTTTTGGCTTATTTTGATGTCAAGGACGTGATGTAAGCAAGAAATGTATCTGTTAAACTTAATTTAATTTCAGTGTACTCAGAAAATCTTGGAGGCTTTTCAAATCTCCATTTAAAACCAGGTTGGTTGGCAGTTACAGAGCTGTATTTAAAAGATGACTGGTTTATGTATCTAAGTTCAAGAATGCTTACAAGCCAGCAAAACGCCTTTTGGGCTGTAAACCTCGTTTTAGATTATACGGGTTTCAAATTATTTTACCAAATATGGTCGTCTTTCGGAATTATCACTTACTTAATTTAAAATAACAGATTACTTTTATTTAAAAATAACCTTGTTTTGGCAATTTGCATGCCATTCTGGTGCCGTTGTCACTTACAATTAAAAATAGAATAGTATTGCTATACTTGGCAGCCAGTATTGTGGTAGCACAGCATAACTTAGTCATGCAAGAATAAAAATGTCTTACTCATACGTTTATATTCAATGTTTTTGTCATAGTGTAAACCTCATGAAGACCAAATTAGACCCAGAAGGATTGGGCATCATATTACTTGGTCCCTTTCTGCAAGAATTTTTCCCTGAGCAGGTAATCAATATAGCTTTGTTGGTGCAGACCATTGTCTATTCTGCTTGTCTTTGAGATTCATTAAACACTTCCATCAATAGCACAGAGCTATTTTGAATAATAACAATTGCATTCATGTGACATAGCTGACCAGCAAATAACTTATTGTATTACACAACAAACTGTAGACTTCCATTTTGCAATTTTGAAATTGAGCTAGTTCCCTACTCAGAAAATTCATCTGAGTTATTTTTTTCTGAGAACAAATGACCGTACTGTTTTTCATCAATATTACAAATGTCTGCTGCTAGCAAATGGGAAAAGGTTACAAACATATTTAACACTATTTTATGTATATCTCTAATAATATAAAATTTTTAACAGTTTAACAAAAAGTCATGATAGAGTTATGTTTAGCGTATGTGGAAGTCAGTATCTGCCAGGGTAATGGAAAATTATTTTCAAACTTTCAATCTGTTCCATATATTCATTAAGATAGCACCACCACTGAGAAGCATGTGTTAACCTAGCGCTGCTGTCCTCTTCTCCCTTTGCCCTGGGTCACATTTTCTTGCCCTCACGCTGCTTCCCTCCTGCCACCAGGAACCGCTTTGTACAGGTGTGTGGTAAACCGGAACGGGGAGCTGGTCCAGATGAGAGCTCTCTTTGCAGGTTTATGGAGGCTCGTTCCGTGGCCATGCAAATGCTTGTCTTGGCAGAAGAGAGAGGGTTTCCCCAGTGACAAAAAGGCTGCTGAGGCGAGAAAAGGGCTGAGAGGAGTACTTCTTTAGAGGCTTTTGCGGCTTAGCATGTCATTGAAACTATATGGCTTAATTTTTTTACAACCCAGGAAAAGTGAAACTAATATTTTAAAATTCCTTCAGCAAGACTCTTTGTTAAGGGTTGTGCAGCGCTGTTTGGATGTAGTAGTCTGTACTCTGAAACAATCCGATCATTCAGAAGACACTAGAACTGCACTGCCAAAGATGGTAGGGACTGAATACGTCATTAAGAGATGATTCATCATCTACAGGAAAAAGGAGTTAGACTGTTCATTTTTTCCGGATTTACGGAATTACATCTGCATTGTGTATTTGCCAACTATTTCTTCTTTCATTTGTATACCCAGAAGTGGAAATGTCTTTCATAGATTCATAGATTTCTAGGTT